ACCTGTGCGATCGGGCAGGAAAACAGAAGGTAATCTAGAGCATCACTAGAGGGAAACAGGTCCTGATTCCTCTATATAGATCCTATCACTAGAGGGGTCACCGACAAGAGGAAGGAGGTCCTGATTCCTCTATATAGATCCTATCACTAGAGGGGTCACCGACAGGAGGAAGGAGGTCCAGATTCCTCTATATAGATCCTATCACTAGAGGGGTCACCGACAGGAGGAAGGAGGTCCTGATTCCTCTATATAGATCTTTATATCACTAGAGGGGTCACCGGCGGGAGGAAGGAGGTCCTGATTCCTCTATATAGATCTTTATATCACTAGAGGGGTCATCGGTGGGAAGAAGGAGGTCCTGATTCCTCTATATAGATCCTATCACTAGAGGGGTCACCGGCAGGAGGAAGGAGGTCCTGATTCCTCTATATAGATCTTTATATCACTAGAGGGGTCACCGGCAGGAGGAAGGAGGTCCTGATTCCTCCATATAGATCTTTATATCACTAGAGGGGTCATCGGTGGGAAGAAGGAGGTCCTGATTCCTCTATATAGATCCTATCACTAGAGGGGTCACCGGCAGGAGGAAGGAGGTCCTGATTCCTCTATATAGATCTTTATATCACTAGAGGGGTCACCGGCAGGAGGAAGGAGGTCCTGATTCCTCCATATAGATCTTTATATCACTAGAGGGGTCATCGGTGGGAGGAAGGAGGTCCTGATTCCTCTATATAGATCTTTATATAACCAGAGGGGGTCACCAGCAGGAGGCAGGAGGTCCTGATTCCTCTATATAGATCTTTATATCACTAGAGGGGTCATCGGCGGGAGGAAGGAGGTCCTGATTCCTCTATATAGATCTTTATATCACTAGAGGGGTCATCGGTGGGAGGAAGGAGGTCCTGATTCCTCTATATAGATCTTTATATAACCAGAGGGGTCACCAGCAGGAGGCAGGAGGTCCTGATTCCTCTATATAGATCTTTATATCACTAGAGGGGTCATCGGCGGGAGGAAGGAGGTCCTGATTCCTCTATATAGATCTTTATATCACTAGAGGGGTCATCGGTGGGAGGAAGGAGGTCCTGATTCCTCTATATAGATCTTTATATCACTAGAGGGGTCCCCGGCGGGAGGAAGGAGGTCCTGATTCCTCTATATAGATCTTTATATCACTAGGGAGGTCATCGGCGGGGGAGGAAGGAGGTCCTGATTCCTCTATATAGATCTTTATATCACTAGAGGGGTCATCGGTGGGAGGAAGGAGGTCCTGATTCCTCTATATAGATCTTTATATCACTAGAGGGGTCATCGGTGGGAGGAAGGAGGTCCTGATTCCTCCATATAGATCTTTATATCACTAGAGGGGTCATCGGTGGGAGGAAGGAGGTCCTGATTCCTCTATATAGATCTTTATATCACTAGAGGGGTCATCGGTGGGAGGAAGGAGGTCCTGATTCCTCTATATAGATCTTTATATCACTAGAGGGGTCATCGGTGGGAGGAAGGAGGTCCTGATTCCTCTATATAGATCTTTATATCACTAGAGGGGTCCCCGGCAGGAGGAAGGAGGTCCTGATTCCTCTATATAGATCTTTATATCACTAGAGGGGTCATCGGTGGGAGGAAGGAGGTCCTGATTCCTCTCTATATAGATCTTTATATCACTAGAGGGGTCATCGGTGGGAGGAAGGAGGTCCTGCTTCCTCTGTATAGACAAAGGAATAAGATTCGGGAGGGGGCAGGATTTATGATCTGGTGGGATAGGCTCAATGGACCACTTAGTCATTTTTTTTCTACCATCACTCTCCCATATTTCTATGTTCATTACCAGGACTGGGGCCTGATGTTCTCTGAGGTTATGGCTAAGCTCCGCCAACTGCTGCCCCCTTTCCAATATGATTGTCTTCGTGGCCAGAAAAAAATCCCGTCCTGAGGATTGCTATGGAAGTTGGAGGGCTTAGCCATAAAATTAGGAGTCGGGTCCAAGCAACAAAGGAAAACTAATTCGGGGAGGAGCTCAGACGACGCTGTCCTGGATAACACGGCTTATCTATTTCATACATCATTCACTTTATAGGTGTTATTTTATTACGTGAGACACACTCCTGGCATTCCTTCTAGATTTTGAAGATTCCATTTTGTCTTCTGGGTCACCATGGAGTTCTGTTGTGTAAATGCCAGCTTAGGCTGCCAGTACAACCTTTTTGCTCCCCCCCCCCCCCCCACCTCCCAGGATAAATAATTCAGCAGATTGTAGGGTAATGTGATCTTGCCATTTGGGAAGAATGACTCTCTGATCAGATAATATTTCTACCTTTTATCTCAGAAGTAGCCCAGCCGTCCATCTCACAGCTGCTAACTGGCTACAAGTGACGTCTGAACCTGGCAAGCCTTTGAAAAACGCCAAGGTCTGCTAATCGGCATGGAAGATGGCGGCTGAGGGGGTTTTTTTTGAAGGTTTTTATTTTATATCCTTGGAGTCAAAGAGAAATTCCAGATAATATACCAAGTACATCAATAAACTGCCAGAGTACCTTTTATACTAAAAAACTATTCCCCCCCCCCGCCCCACTGTCAGAAACAGTGGGGCATAGTTCCTAGCACTGACACCAACAATGGGGCACTATTCCTTCCACAAATGACGCAATATTCCTCCCACTGACACCAAGGCAATGATGGGGCACTATTCCTCCCACTGACACCAATGATGGGGCACTATTCCTCCCACTGACACCAATGATGGGGCACTATTCCTCCCACTGACACCAATGTTGGGGCACTATTCCTCCCACTGACACCAATGATGGGGCACTATTCCTGATGGAGCCCACTGACACCCAATGATGGGGCACTATTCCTCCCACTGACACCAATGATGGGGCACTATTCCTCCCACTGACACCAATGATGGGGCACTATTCCTCCCACTGACACCAATGATGGGGCACTATTCCTCCCGCTGACACCAATGATGGGGCACTATACCCCAATCCTCCCCGCTGACCCCAATGATGGGGCACTATTCCTCCCGCTGACCCCAATGATGGGGCACTATTCGTCCCGCTGACCCCAATGATGGGGCACTATTCGTCCCGCTGACCCCAATGATGGGGCACTATTCGTCCCGCTGACCCCAATGATGGGGCACTATTCGTCCCGCTGACCCCAATGATGGGGCACTATTCGTCCCGCTGACCCCAATGATGGGGCACTATTCGTCCCGCTGACCCCAATGATGGGGCACTATTCGTCCCGCTGACCCCAATGATGGGGCACTATTCGTCCCGCTGACCCCAATGATGGGGCACTATTCGTCCCGCTGACCCCAATGATGGGGCACTATTCGTCCCGCTGACCCCAATGATGGGGCACTATTCGTCCCGCTGACCCCAATGATGGGGCACTATTCGTCCCGCTGGCCCCAATGATGGGGCACTATTCGTCCCGCTGACCCCAATGATGGGGCACTATTCGTCCCGCTGGCCCCAATGATGGGGCACTATTCCCCCCAATGCTGACCCCAATGATGGGGCACTATTTTTCCCCGTTGACCCCAATGATGGGGCCCTGTTCCTTCCGCTGACCCCAATGATGGGGCCCTGTTCCTTCCGCTGACCCCAATGATGGGGCCCTGTTCCTTCCGCTGACCCCAATGATGGGGCCCTGTTCCTTCCGCTGACCCCAATGATGGGGCCCTGTTCCTTCCGCTGACCCCAATGATGGGGCCCTGTTCCTTCCGCTGACCCCAATGATGGGGCCCTGTTCCTTCCGCTGACCCCAATGATGGGGCCCTGTTCCTTCCGCTGACCCCAATGATGGGGCCCTGTTCCTTCCGCTGGCACCAATGATGGGGCCCTGTTCCTTCCGCTGGCACCAATGATGGGGCCCTGTTCCTTCCGCTGGCACCAATGATGGGGCCCTGTTCCTTCCGCTGGCACCAATGATGGGGCCCTTTTCCTTCCGCTGGCACCAATGATGGGGCCCTTTTCCTTCCGCTGGCACCAATGATGGGGCCCTTTTCCTTCCGCTGGCACCAATGATGGGGCCCTTTTCCTTCCGCTGGCACCAATGATGGGGCCCTTTTCCTTCCGCTGGCACCAATGATGGGGCCCTTTTCCTTCCGCTGGCACCAATGATGGGGCCCTTTTCCTTCCGCTGGCACCAATGATGGGGCCCTTTTCCTTCCGCTGGCACCAATGATGGGGCCCTTTTCCTTCCGCTGGCACCAATGATGGGGCGCTTTTCCTTCCGCTGGCACCAATGATGGGGCGCTTTTCCTTCCGCTGGCACCAATGATGGGGCCCTTTTCCATCCGCTGGCACCAATGATGGGGCCCTTTTCCATCCGCTGGCACCAATGATGGGGCGCTTTTCCTCCTGCTGGCACCAATGATGGGGCGCTTTTCCTTCCGCTGACCCCAATGATGGGGCCCTTTTCCTTCTCCTGGCACCAATGATGGGGCGCTTTTTCCTTCCGCTGGCACCAATCATGGGGCGCACTTTTCCTTCCATTGACACCAGTGATGGCGCAGTATTCCTCCCCTTAAAGGATTACTAAAACCACAACAGTAAAATCAGTCTGTATATGCAGTAAAGCATGCTTGTTATAATCACTGTGGTACTTAAGGAATTAATCTTCTGCATTGTGTAAAAAGGCTGTTTGATCCTGTCTTCTCTGATCCTCCCCTTCTTCCATTGCCCCCCCCCCCCCCCTTGTCTCTATCTCCTGATAAGACATCTTGTGTGGAGACACTATGCACTTGCTCAGTTTGGTGTGTATTGCTAGAAAGGGTTTCTTTTGTTTTTTTTTTTTTTTTCTTGAGAGTGCATGTGATCAGCACAGGGCCAATCACCACTGTCCAGACAGAGGGTCAGGGGTCCTGCTTCTCCGGGGAGAGCGGAGATGGCTAATGCGGGGTCCGGGGAGAGCGGATATAGTGAATGCGGGGTCCGGGGAGAGCGGATATAGTGACCTTACATTGGGGGTCAGTGGGAAGAATGTCCCTTACATTGGGGGTCAGTGGGAAGAATGTCCCTTACATTGGGGGTCAGTGGGAAGAATGTCCCTTACATTGGGGGTCAGTGGGAAGAATGTCCCTTACATTGGGGGTCAGTGGGAAGAATGTCACTTGCATTGGTGGTCAGTGGGAAGAATGTCCCTTACATTGGGGGTCAGTGGGAAGAATGTCCCTTACATTGGGGGTCAGTGGGAAGAATGTCCCTTACATTGGTGGTCAGTGGGAAGAATGTCCCTTACATTGGGGGTCAGTGGGAAGAATGTCCCTTACATTGGGGGGTCAGTGGGAAGAACGCCCTTACATTGGTGGTCAGTGGGAAGAATGTCCCTTACATTGGTGGTCAGTGGGAAGAATGTCCCTTACATTGGAGGTCAGTGGGAAGAATGTCCCTTACATTGGGGGTCAGTGGGAAGAATGTCCCTTACATTGGGGGTCAGTGGGAAGAATGTCCCTTACATTGGGGGTCAGTGGGAAGAATGTCCCTTACATTGGGGGTCAGTGGGAAGAATGTCCCTTACATTGGAGGTCAGTGGGAAGAATGTCCCTTACATTGGGGGTCAGTGGGAAGAATGTCCCTTACATTGGGGGTCAGTGGGAGGCATGTCCCTCACATTGGGGGTCAGTGGGAGGCAACATTGGGGGTCAGTGGGAGGCCCTTACATTGGGGGTCAGTGGGAGGCAATGCCCCTTACATTGGGGGTCAGTGGGAAGAATGTCCCCTTACATTGGGGGTCAGTGGGAGGCACGCCCCTTACATTGGGGGTCAGTGGGAGGCACGTCCCTTACATTGGGGGTCAGTGGGAGAATGCACGCCCCTCACATTGGGGGTCAGTGGGAAGAATGTCCCTTACATTGGGGGTCAGTGGGAGGCACGTCCCTTACATTGGGGGTCAGTGGGAGGCACGCCCCTTGCATTGGGGGTCAGTGGGAGGCACGCCCCTTGCATTGGGGGTCAGTGGGAGGCACGCCCCTTACATTGGGGGTCAGTGGGAGGAACGCCCCTTGCATTGGGGGTCAGTGGGAGGAACGCCCCTTGCATTGGGGGTCAGTGGGAGGCACGCCCCTTGCATTGGGGGTCAGTGGGAGGCACGCCCCTTACATTGCGGCTCAGTGGAATTAATTAACCCCTTACAGATAGATAAGACCAATGGTGTCAGTGTGAACTTATCTGAGAGGCAGAAATTGCTCATGGAACCCGGTCTGGGAAATCCTGTTCTAGAGGGATCCCACAGGTTTGGTATATACATAGTTGGCCTAAGCTGAAACAATGTAACATGTAAAAATATCCATATTTTGTAATTCTTCTTTAATTTCGGATTGGCTCCGTCATTCGGTGTAGAAGTCCTTTAATCATTATGCCATACAATGCCACCAGTGAACTTTCCAGCAAGGAACTTGTCCTCCGTCTCCCTCCCAGGCTGATCACATGTACCTTTTCATGTCTATGGAGCCAACGTTACCAATTTCGATTACCTTTATTGTTACCCCACATTGTAATGGGGTAAGGGGGGGAGGGGAATTGGCAAGCGGGGTCGTTCTTGTTTGTATAAGTTGTCTGTGAAGAGAAACGTTGTAAAAAATCTCTGACTTGATACAAAAGGACTTTCATTCCCCTTTAAAATGTTTATAGCGCGACTGCATTGATGAATATTTTACAACTACAACAGCTGAGGACGGGATCTGCTGAAAGGGCTTAGAGGCCGGGGCGCCGCGGGCTCAGATATCACCACAAGACCTGCGTCACCGGCATCGCACCCTCCTCAATGACAACAGCGCCCTCTGCAGACACCACTACGCCAGGACATAGGGGCAGGGTACCAACCCAAACCTTTCACCTGTAGGTTGCCATTGTCTGAGTTTGATGCATGCGTTTATACAGGGGGAATGTTTTTAAGGGATTTGATTTCATTTTTGCCTTCACTTTAATGAACAGTCTGAAAAATATACGAATGGTAGGCCATGCTGCATGAAAGGCATACTCCATGTTCTACGTATACAAGAAAACAACGGGACTTAGGGCCGATTTACACCAGCAGGTAGCATTATGCCCAGTGTGCTTCATGAGGTGTGATGCTACTTTTTGTTTGTTTTTTGTTTTTTTAACTTTATTGATATTTATTCAACTCCACATAACACAAACTCCAACAATGGGGCACTATTCCTCCCACTGACCCCAATGATGGGGCACTATTCCTCCCACTGACACCAAGGATGGGGCACTATTGCTCCCACTGACACCAGTGATGGGGCGCTATTCCTCCCACTGACACCAATGGTGGGGCACTATTCCTCCCACTGACACCAATGGTGGGGCACTATTCCTCCCACTGACACCAATGGTGGGGCACTATTCCCCCCACTGACACCAATGGTGGGGCACTATTCCCCCCACTGACACCAATGGTGGGGCACTATTCCCCCCCCACTGACACCAATGGTGGGGCACTATTCCCCCCACTGACACCAATGGTGGGGCACTATTCCCCCCACTGACACCAATGGTGGGGCACTATTCCCCCCCACTGACACCAATGGTGGGGCACTATTCCCCCCACTGACACCAATGGTGGGGGGCACTGTTCCCCCCTACTGACACCAATGGTGGGGCACTGTTCCCCCCACTGACGCCAATGGTGGGGCACTGTTCCTCCCCCCGACGCCAATGCTGGGGCACTGTTGCTCCCACCGACGCCAATGACGGGGCACTGTTGCTCCCCCCGACGCCAAGGGCGGGGCACTGTTGCTCCCCCCGACGCCAAGGGCGGGGCACTATTCCTACCCCCACTGGCCACAATCCGGCCCCCCAAAAATTGTACTTTCAATATTTGGTGAGTGAACGAGTTAACTAAAGTAATATTTTGCCATAGCCTGTCCCATAGCACAAAGGAGTGCGAAAGGGTAGGCACCAGTATGGAAGGGCGTCTCTTAGGAGTGCACCATAGCAAAATAGTCCAGGGTATAGCCTGGGACAGCTTGCCTCTCCATCTGGACCCTAACCAGCCTAGCAAAGCGGGAGTGAACTACAGAAATCTGTGTCCGCTGTGTGGCCTGATAACACAGGGACAGATTGGGTAGCCCCAACCTCCCCTCTAGTTTTCGGTTGAAACAAAATCTGCTTAGAAAATCGGTGTTCCTTCCAACCTCACACATACCTAATAATAACTTTAGATCGGAATTTATACAAAATTGAGCAAGGAACTGGAATCGGGAGGGAGCAAAAAAAAAATGAGGCTGGGTGGCCCCCTAAAAGTTTGAAGGACATTAAACTGGCCCTTTGCCAAGTTTGGAGATCCCCTGCTCTAAATGCTTCTCTTAACCACTTCCTGACCATGCTATAGCCAAAAGACAGCTACAGTGCGGTCGATTGGTTCTGGGAGGGCATCCATGGACGTCCTTCCAGAACCGCGCCTCCTTGGGCTCCCAGCTGTTCAGCCAATCACTGCTGATCACGCTCTCTTCCCGCTGACCGCACGAGAGGAGAGCCGATGAGCAGCATTGCTCAAGGGGACGTCTACATTGATCATCAGGGCACTGATGAGCACTATGGCTGCACTGATGGGGCTACACTGGTCATCAGTGCCCAACTGTGCTGGTCATCAGTGCCCAACTGTGCTGGTCATCAGTGACACCTGTGTCGGTGCCCATAAGTGCTGCCTCATCAGTGCTGCCCATCAGTGACACCTGTCGGTGCCCATCAGTACAGCTTATCAGTGCTGTTTCTTCAGCACACATCCGTGAAGGAGAAAAAAACCTCTTTACAAAACTTTTTAACAGAAACTAAGAAAATATATATATATTTTTTTTTTTTTTCAAAATGTTTTGGTCTTTCTTTTGTTTAGCTAAAAATTACCCCCCCCCCCCCCCCCAGTGGTGATTACATACCCCCAAAAGAAACCTCTATTTTGTCTTTAAAAAAAAAAAAAAGAGAAAAATTGTTTGGGTACAGTGTTGCATGACCGCTCAATTGTCATTCAAAGTGCAATAGCGCTGAAAACTGAACTGGGTGGGAAGGGGGTAAAAGTACCCGGCAGGCAAGTGGGTAAAACACTGGTGTGTAGACCTGATGTGCATAGGCCACAAAGAACTGTGTTTTTAAAGGTATTAAAAAAATGTACATCTGTAAAAACGTCATTTTGTTGCCTGTGTGCATGAGGCCTAAGACTTGCCATTGACATCTGAAACGTTAAAAAATAAATTGTGGATTAATATCGCTGTAAAATGAAGAGTCTAGTGACAGGGCCACTTTGACTGGTCCTAGAGTTTTTTTTGGTGCTGCTGCTACATGAGATTTGATGAGAAGACGAAACCATCAGAGAATCCAGTAAGTGCCCAGCCAGACGGACATGTTCGGGTTGCAGTGTCTTTCAGATGGAATTACACTGTCAGAGGATGGAAACGATTGGCCTTAATCTGCCTAGAAGATAGAGAAATCAATAGAGAGTCTGTTTTTCTCCTAATAGGATCTCAATGTCTGTCTGGCACCAGAAAGAAATTCTTAAAAAGGGGCTTCCAAGTACGGTGGATTAATGCCGAGATTACGGCCGGATAATTTGATTTACAAATGGTTGAAGAGACGCTCACCTGCGGCTCGGCATATCATTGTCCAATTGTAATGACGTTAATGAAATTTAGCTTCTGCTGGAAGAAAGGCTCTCTCTCCGGTAGAGCAGACGGTTCCTCTTTATTCTGGAGGAAACATTGGCTGTATTGTATTCTTGTCACAAGGACATTTTTCCTTCTGTATTAAATGGCAGACCATCGATGGTTGGCCTTCTCGTGACTGAAGATGATGGGCCCGCCCATAGTCTTAATGCTCGATGTGTTTTGTTCAATATAGAATGATGAGTTCTGTACGTTGTGGGGTCAGGATGCCCAACTGGAAACCATGTGGCTGACCATCGATGGTTGGCCTTCTCTTGACTGAAGATAACAGGCCCACCCGTAGTCTCCATGCTCATTGTGTTTTGTTCAATATAGAATGATGAGTTCTGTACGTTGTGGGGTCAGGATGCCCAACTGGAAACCATGTGGCTGACCATCGATGGTTGGCCTTCTCGTGACTGAAGATGACAGGCCCGCCCATAGTCTTAATGCTCGTTGTGTTTTGTTCAATATAGAATGATGAGTTCTGTACGTTGTGGGGACAGGATGCCTAACTGGAAACCATCTGGCTGACCATCGATGATTGGCCTTCTCGTGACTGAAGCTGATGGGCCCGCCCGTATTCTCCATTCTCATTGTGTTTTGTTCATTATTGGATGATGAGTTCTGTACATTGTGGGGTCAGAATGCCTGAATGGAAATGAGAGGCAACTCTGGAAGTTAAATTGTATCTCCTTAGCTGATTCCTTAAACCCTACCTTTTTGTTTTCTCCTGATCTGCTGTCACAACATACATTGCATGCTATGTGGCTTCTTTGGTCCCTCTCTTAATCACTGCCCCCACCTCCCTGTTTATAGGTGGCTCCTTTGCCTTGCAGTGTCCTATGGGGGTGCTCAGGCATGATGATGACCTGTACAAGCCGCTGGAGCTGTCTGGATAGGCTGCACATGTGCGGTACACTTGGCATCTTAGGACACTGCTATTGCAGGGGGTCTTGGCTCAAGTGTAGAGTCCATGACAACCAGGTATGATGTTTCAGGGCTTGATGGCCCACTTTTATTTATCATGTAATTAAAAGTACCAAGGTTGCCCTTGCAGGGGTTTCCACCATCACTTCACATACGAATGAAATTGACAGCCTCCCAGCTCGCTCTTGCAGCACTACTGCTTAGGTCTCAAGTTCAAACATTTTGGCTGTTCCCTCAGAGTGGTTCACAGTACCTACTGTGTTCACATCCCTGCACCTCTCTCACGCTTCCTCTGATTATCACTTGCAACTCCCTACTGCAAGGTGTCCACTTCTTAACCTAAGCAGGGATCATCCTGTCTCCTAGATGGAGCCCTGAACTATAGCTAGGTCCTTCACTATGAAGGCTGTGTACACCTGTGCACACACCCTGCTGGTCTCCAGGAAGACCTAGACACAGGTTTAGAGGTGTTGTCCCTCCTAAGGATTTTTTGAAGCCTCTGAACTCCAGAACCCAATCCAGTAAGACCTGGACCCAAGTTCAGAGGCTTCGTCCCTCCCAAAGCTCTTTCAAGTCTCCAAACTCCAGAACCCAATCTGGTAATACCCAGATACAGGATCCAAAGCTTTGTCCCTCCCAAGGCTCTTTGAAGCTTTTGATCTCCAGAACTCAATCTGGTAAGACTTTCACACCGGATCAGAGGCTTTGTCCCTCCCAAGGCTGTCTGGGTTCTGGGGTTTAGAGGCTTCAATCTGGTAAAACCTGGACACAGAATTAAAGGCCTTGTCCCTCCCAAGGCTCTTTGACGCCTCCAAACTCCAGAACCCTATTTGGTAAGACCTGGACACAAGTTCAGAGGATTTGTACCTCCTAAGGCTCTTTTGAAGCCTCCAAACTCCAGAGCCCAATCTGGTAATACCCAGATTCAGGATCATAAACTTTGTCCCTCCCAAGGTGGCTTTGATGCATCCAAACTCCACAACTCAATCCGGTAAGACCTGGACACAGAATCAGTGGCCTTGTCCCCCCAAGGCTGTTTGAAGCATCCAAACCCAAGAACCCAATCTGGTAAGACCTGGACAGGATCAGAAGCTTCATCCCTCCCAAGACTCTGAATCCTCTGGACCTAATCTGGGAATTACAAAAGTCAAAAACAGCTGTGGATCCAACTTTCCCTGCTCAGCACAGACCCTCTGGAGGCCCTCACTTTGCACTGCTGAGAACCCTCTGTTCTTTTTACCTATATTTACACACAGGGAGGGCCTGTCCTTTTAAGAATCCCTTTAAAATAATTCCCAAACAATTGGTGTGGATGATTCCACAGATTGTGCAGGTCCGACGTGACAATAGGTCCATTGGATGGACTCTTCATTAATCTAGGACACTGTATGAAGAAGTCTGATAATATCCAGTTATTGATGGAAGCACGTCTGTCCAGGTGTGGAACGATGTTTCCCAACCAGGTTGCTCTGACACCCTGGGGTGCCTTCTGGGATCCTCAGGGGTGCTGCACCCCATGATTCTCTACAGTGTTTCCATAGTGAAGACCCTAATGTGGAAGCTGGGGGCATGAGGACCCTGATGTGGAAGCTGGGGGCATGAGGGCCCTGACGTGGAAGCTGGGGGCATGAGGGCCCTGACGTGGAAGCTGGGGGCATGAGGGCCCTGACGTGGAAGCTGGGGGCATGAGGGCCCTGACGTGGAAGCTGGGGGGCATGAGGGCCCTGACGTGGAAGCTGGGGGCATGAGGGCCCTGACGTGGAAGCTGGGGGCATGGGGCCCCTGACGTGGAAGCTGGCGGCATGAGGGCCCTGACGTGGAAGCTGGCGGTATGTAGTGAGGGGGGGGGGGGCATGAGGGCCCTGATGTGGAAGTGGGAATTGGGGCTCCTTTGTGAAAGGGGTAGGACTGAGGACTCTTTTCTGATTTAAAAGGGAGGGGGAATTTAGAATCTATGAAAGTGGAAGGAAGGAGGACTGATGCAACTGGGAAGGGGAAGACCTAGGACTCTGACGTGAATGGAGGACTCTGATGTGAAAGGGGGGCTTCTTATGTTATGGAGGGGCCCCGTTTTAGATTGGGTTGCCTCAATTGTGAGTTCTGTCATTAGGTGGAAAAACTAAACTTTGGTGTGGAAAGATGCAGTACGTTGTGTTTGGACTCCCAATAACCTAGTCCTGGACATTTTTGACATTTAGTCCACCATACGAAATCTTCATTTTAATTTTGTTTTTATTTCAAGATGTTCCTTCCCATCACTTTTGATTGATTTCCCCCCCCCCCCCCCCCCCACCGGAGTCAGTTACTGCGCCCATTGCCAAGTTGGCATTGATACGCACAGACTGGATGTTTAAGGCGTCGGGCTATTTTTATATATACTTCGCCATTAATTTTTATTACCTGAAGAGATCCCGGCGCCGCAGGTCTTGTTTACTTTAGGCTGGCGATTCCCTGGCATTCGTGTATAACCCGAGTATATACAACCTCAACGGCGGGGTGGAATTGGGACAAGAGGACCCCCCGAGCATTTCTTCAGGAGGCTGGCAAGGGGGCGCGTGTTCTAGAGCACCAAAGGTGACCGAGGGGATGGGGACTGCATAATGGGATAAACGGAAATGTGAAATTGAGGAAACCGGTAGTCCATGACTAACGCAGTACATTAGCCTGGTGGTCAGTGGGAAGAATGTCCCTTACATTGGGGGTCAGTGGGAAGAATGTCCCTTACATTGGGGTCAGTGGGAAGAATGTCCCTTACATTGGGGGTCAGGGGACGAGTGGGACGAATGTCCCTTACATTGGGGGTCAGTGGGACGAATGTCCCTTACATTGGGGGTCAGTGGAACGAATGTCCCTTACATTGGGGGTCAGTGGGAAGAATGCCCCTTACATTGGGGGTCAGTGGGAAGAATGCCCCTTACATTGGGGGTCAGTGGGAAGAATGCCCCTTACATTGGGGGTCAGTGGGAAGAATGTCCCTTACATTGGGGGTCAGTGGGAAGAATGTCCTTACATTGGTGGTCAGTGGGAAGAATGCCCCTTTACATTGGGGGGTCAGTGGGAAGAATGTCCCTTACATTGGGGGGTCAGTGGGAAGAATGTCCCTTACATTGGGGGTCAGTGGGAAGAATGTCCCTTACATTGGGGGTCAGTGGGAAGAATGTCCCTTACATTGGGGGTCAGTGGGAAGAATGTCCCTTACATTGGGGTCAGTGGGAAGAATGCCCTTTACATTGGGGGGTCAGTGGGAAGAATGTCCCTTACATTGGGGGTCAGTGGAAAGAATGTCCCTTACATTGGGGGTCAGTGGGAAGAATGCTCCCCTTACATTGGGGGGGTCAGGGAAGAATGCTCCCTTACATTGGGGGTCAGTGGGAAGAATGTCCCTTACATTGGTGGTCAGTGGGAAGAATGTCCCTTACATTGGGGGTCAGTGGGAAGAATGTCCCTTACATTGGGGGTCAGTGGGAAGAATGCTCCTTTACATTGGGGGGTCAGTGGGAAGAATGCTCCTTTACATTGGGGGTCAGTGGGAAGAATGTCCCTTACATTGGGGGGTCAGTGGGAAGAATGTCCCTTACATTGGGGGGGTCAGTGGGAAGAATGTCCCTTACATTGGGGGTCAGTGGGAAGAATGTCCCTTACATTGGGGTCAGTGGGAAGAATGTCCCTTACATTGGTGATCAGTGGGAAGAATCCCTTACATTGGGGGTCAAGAATGTCCCTTACATTGGTGATCAGTGGGAAGAATGTCCCTTACATTGGGGGTCAGTGGGAAGAATGTCCCTTACATTGGGGATCAGTGGGAAGAATGTCCCTTACATTGGGGGTCAGTGGGAAGAATGTCCCTTACATTGGAGGTCAGTGGGAAGAAAGAATGTCCCTTACATTGGAGGATCAGTGGGAAGAATGTCCCTTACATTGGTGATCAGTGGGAAGAATGTCCCTTACATTGGTGGTCAGTGGGAAGAATGTCCCTTACATTGGGGGTCAGTGGGAAGAATGTCCCTTACATTGGTGGTCAGTGGGAAGAATGTCCCTTACATTGGTGGTCAGTGGGAAGAATGTCCCTTACATTGGTGGTCAGTGGGAAGAATGTCCCTTACATTGGGGATCGGTGGGAAGAATGTCCCTTACATTGGGGGTCAGTGGGAAGAATGTCCCTTACATTGGTGGTCGTGGGAAGAATGTCCCTTACATTGGTGGTCGGGCACTATCTGACTTGCAGCTTCTAATGCACATTGTGAAAAGCTCCCAGTGTGCAGTAAAATCAGAGTAAGCAATCTCAGTCCAGGAGAGGAGCTGGGACCTCTATGCAAGACTGAAGGGGAGGTCGGAGGTCAGATTTAAAGCCCAGTATATGAAAGGACAGCAGCAAAGCAGAAGTCCAATGCAGTCCATAGTGGAGTTTCAGTAAATAGAGGAAAAGCCGCTGTATTGGCTGAAACCGTTTCCTTTTATTATGTAGAATTCTCCGTGTTCTGCGTTGAGTCTATTTTAATACTGTGCGTATGACCGGCACCCCCCCCCCCCCATGGGGGTCTCGTATATGCTGAGTTGCAGAGTATCTTGCCCCAGGTAAGGAATGCCTGTGTAATTGTACGACCTTGCAAGGCGTCAGATTTTCCTGAATCAGCATTAATTTCACGCTGTGCGCAGCTTGGAAGAAAAACGCCATTTTCCATCGTTTTTCCGCAGAGTAACACCCCCCTCCAAAAATGCATAAAAAGCTAATTTCTGTTCTAGAAGATCATTTGGCACTCAGTGTTGATGTGTGAAGAATCTGGCGACACGTTTGCTGAAAAAGAGATTTCCGGCGTTCTGTTGTCCGTGTCAACATCTCTGTTTTATAAATGTCCAAAAAATACTTATAGACCTCAAAAAAAAGGATCGTTTTCAGATTTAAAAGGTGGGGGTTGGTATAATACATGAATTTTCTGTGCAATATACTATAATGCAGTAAGGCTGCTGATACAGTAAAAGCATGCCATCGTGTTGTTTTTTTTTTTTTTTTTTTGCTTGCTAAATGCTGCTAGAGTTCAAACCCCCTGTGCTGGCAGCACGTTGGAGAGTCAGACCGCGGCTCTCCCACCCAACGCCGAAGTGTGACGCTATAGTGAACCAATATGTCCCCCCACACACCGCCCTAGTCAGCAGCTCTGATTCTATATTGCTGTGTGTGGTTGGAGGAGTTAAAGCCCCTGTGCTGGCAGCATTTTAGAGAGTCGGACCGCGGCTCTCCCAGCCAACGTGAAGCGTGACGCTATAGTGAACCAATATGTCCCCCCACACACCGCCCTAGTCAGCAGCTCTGATTCTATATTGCTGTGTGTGGTTGGAGGAGTTAAAGCCCCTGTGCTGGCAGCATTTTAGAGAGTCGGACCGCGGCTCTCCCAGCCAACGTGAAGCGTGACGCTATAGTGAACCAATATGTTCCCCCCCCCCCCCCCCGCACACCGCCCTAGTCAGCAGCTCTGATTCTGTATTGCTGTGTGCTGTTGGAGGAGTTAAACCCCCTGTGCTGGCAGCACGTTGGAGAGTCGGACTGCTGCTCTCCCACCCAACGCCGAAGCATGACGCTATAGTGAACCAATATCAAACCCCCCCCCCCCCCCCAACCGCCCCTAGTCAGCAGCTCTGATGCTATATTGCTGTGTACGGTTGGAGGAGTCAAACCCCCTGTGTTGGCAGCACGTTGGAGAGTCGGACCGCTGCTCTCCCACCCAACGCCGAAGCGTGACGCTATAGTGAACCAATATCCCCCCCCAAACACTTCTAGTCAGCAGCTCTGATGCTATATTGCTGTGTACGGTTGGAGGAGTTAAACCCCCTGTGTTGGCAGCACGTTGGAGAGTCAGACCGCCGCTCTCCCAGCCAACGCCGAAGCGTGACGCTATAGTGCTTAAATTCAACCAACCGAGCCTTCAATTTCTCCTCTCGTTGCTACAGAAAATAATTTTCGTGGCCAAGAATTTTATTTTCTTTCCAGGTCGCAGCTCACTTTTTTTTTTTGTTTTGTATTTCTCGCACGATTCTCCCATCATTGATTCAAAATTCATTTGTTTTGCAAATATGCCCAATCACTTAAATTCGAAGGTCGCTCGAAAATTGGCCGTTTCTGTGACCCACTAATGGTGTGAAATTCGAGCAAAAATTATTTTGCCATTCGACCCGTGTGTGTGGCCGGCTTTAGGCACAGAAATACGCCCGCGGTTTACATTGTATGCTGCAAAGCGCCCGCGTGTATGAACCATATTGGCAGGCAGTTTGGGGCTCACATTCTCCACCAGTCCCTTCACTCCAAATCCGGCACCGCCCAATCCTGTGAACTCTTCGCTCCACTTCTTCTGGCTCACAGCGGCCACATACATGGTATCTGTTCCACCACAAGGCCCCGGCCGCTCCCATTGGGTACACGTTACCGGAGCCCCGGCCGCTCCCATTGGGTACACGTTACCGGAGCTAACAATTAGACGTAATTGGTCTATTAGTGACTTTGCCGGGCTTGTGTGGGCGGGGCTGATATCTCGGCCATAAATCCGCCATTGTACTCAGATGAATGCAGCGCTGTATTCGCCGATACGACGTTTAAATGTATATATTAAATCCCAGCGGGGTACGTACCTGAATGTGACCTCGTATTACACCTGTACAGCAGGACTGGGGTGTGAGACGAAGAAACCAATCCGTTCATGTACTGACAAGAAACATGCTGATAGGAGGAGAGAACAGAGTTGGAGAGCTGTGCTGCTTCTCCTTTCACTGTTCAATCACAAGTTGGGGGCTGGTCCGGGATGAGGGTGGCTCAGAGGAAGTGAGTAATGCCCGCCATCAGACTGAGGACATCTAGTTTAAGGGGAAATCTCTGGACTGTGTGTGGGGGGGGGGGGGGGGGAGAATCTCTGGACTGAGGGGGGGGGGATCTCTGGACTGCAGGGGAATATTGCAGCAAAAGCTGGTCTTATTTGATCATTCAAGTTCTTTTCACAGGGTCATCCCAGGACAGGGGCAGGGTCATCCAGTGCCCAGTGCAAGGATGCCAAACTACCCCCCCCCCCTTAAAGGATCCTATGCCCAGCAGTCACTCCCTCAATCACTTTCTCAGCTAAGCATACCCTCCTGCCTGCATGCCAGAGCTAAGGGCAGAAGGATTTCAGGAAGTAAATGCTACATGACTCATTTGCCCTTATTCAAGATGGCCGCAAGGTAGAAATGCTAGGGGGTGTTTTTAAGAGCAATTTCTCAGCAAAATAAAGCATGGAGACATGGATGGATGGGGGAGTTTGCTCTGAAGATTGATAATAAATTGGTGTTTTTGGTTTGTGGTGCTCACATGCCGTGTAGTTCCACTTTAAAATGTTGTAGTATAGATGTAGTAGCAGTGTAGTATAGATGTAGTAGCAGTGTAGTATAGATGTAGAGGTGTGGTATAGATGTAGAGCTGTAGTATAGATGTAGAGCTGTAGTATAGATGTAGAGGTGTAGTATAGATGTAGTGGTGTAGTATAGATGTAGTGGTGTAGTAGTAGAGGTGTAGTAGTGGCGTGGTATAATAGTAGTGGTGTAGTATAGGTGTAGTATAGATGTCGTAGTGGTGTAGTATAGATGTAAAAGCGGTGTAGTCGTAGTGGTGTAGTAGTAGTGGCGTAGTATAGATGTAGAGGTGTAGTAGTAGTGGCGTAGTATAGATGTAGTGGCGTAGTATAGATGTAGAGGTGTAGTATAGATGTAGAGGTGTAGTAGTAGTGGCGTAGTATAGATGTAGAGGTGTAGTAGTGGCGTAGTATAGATGTAGTAGCGGTGTAGTCGTAGTGGTGTAGTATAGATGTAGAGGTGTAGTAGTGGTATAATAGTAGTGGTGTAGTATAGATGTAGAGGTGTAGTAGTAGTGGCGTAGTATAGATGTAGGGGTATAGTAGTGGTGTAGTATAGATGTAGTAGCGGTGTAGTAGAGGTGTAGTCATAGTGGTGTAGTATAGATGTAGTAGTGGTATAATAGTAGTGGTGTAGTATAGATGTAGAGGTGTAGTAGCGGTGTAGTCGTAGTGGTGTAGTATAGATGTAGTAGTGGTGTAGTCGTAGTGGTGTAGTATAGATGTAGTAGTGGTGTAGTAGAGGGCGTAGTATAGATGTAGTAGAGGCGTAGTATAGATGTAGTAGAGGCGTAGTATAGATGTAGTAGAGGCGTAGTAGTAGTAGAGGCGTAGTAGAGGTGTAGTAGTAGAGGTGTAGTAGTAGAGGCGTAGTATAGATGTAGTAGTGGTGTAGTAGCAGTGTCTCCTTCTAGGAGGATCCCCCCAGTAAGACCCATGCATACTTGCCTACAATGTAGCTATGTATAAAATATCTTTGCCTGAAGTTCTGCTGTAAGAAGAGTAACTAAGTATTTTCTGTACTACTTCACCAGGACGCAACGAACCATTAAAGAAAGAGCGGCCAAGATGGAAGAGCGACTACCCCATGACGGATGGCCAGCTCCGCAGCAAAAGGGACGAGTTCTGGGACACTGCGCCAGCATTCGAGGGGCGCAAAGAGATCTGGGACGCACTGAAAGCGGCAGCCTACGCCGTGGAGGCCAATGACCACGAGCTGGCTCAGGCCATTGTGGATGGGGCCAGTATTACGTTACCTCATGGTAGGTGCAAGGAAGAAATTATCTCAAATTGTTTGAAAATATCCCAGATATAGCTCCTCCTCCTTTAACAACTCTTCAACATAATATTTGTGTAGGAACGCATTGGGCAATAGTCCTTCACTGGAAAACCAATCGAGTTCCCTTTCCTCAAGTTGTGGCCGGGATAGAGGAAATTATGATTGTGGAAAAAAATCTTTCATAAGCTCCATAATGCCAAATAATTATTTGACATAAAATGGGACCTTGGTTTATAGATTGCCAAATGATAACCAAGTCTCATTTTCTAGATGCTGAAATATTACATTGTACTCCTTTTTATATCTCATATGGATCTGCCTTTATTTTGTACCCAGTGCTACACCTTTGTACAGGGGGAAAATAATTGTTTAACCCCCCTGCAGATTTTGTATGTTTGCCCACTTAGAAAGACATGATATAATTTCTGTCATCGGTGTATTTTAAATTATAAAGACAGAATATCAACCAAAAATCCAGAAAAACCACACGATACAAATGTTATAAATGGAGTAAAATAAGTATTTGATCCCCAAGCAAAACAGGACTTAGTACTTGGTGGAGGAACCTTTTGTTGGCGAGCACAGAGGTGAGACGTTCCTTGTAGTTGGCGGAGGAACCCTTGTTGGCGAGCACAGAGGTGAGACGTTCCTTGTAGTTGGTGGAGGAACCCTTCTTGGCGAGCACAGAGGTGAGACGTTCCTTGTAGTTGGTGGAGGAACCCTTGTTGGTGAGCCCAGAGGTGAGATGTTCCTTGTTATTGGTGGAGGAACCCTTGTTGGTGAGCCCAGAGGTGAGACGTTCCTTGTAGTTGGTGGAGGAACCCTTGTTGGTGAGCACAGAGGTGAGACGTTCCTTGTAGTTGGTGGAGGAACCCTTGTTGGTGAGCACAGAGGTGAGACGTTCCTTGTAGTTGGTGGAGGAACCCTTGTTGGCGAGCCCAGAGGTGAGAGACGTTCCTTGTAGTTGGTGGAGGAACCATTCTTGGTGAGACGTTCCTTGTAGTTGGTGGAGGAACCCTTGTTGGCGAGCCCAGAGGCGAGACGTTTCCTGTAGTTGGTGGAGGAACCTTTGTTGGCAAGCACAGAGGTGAGACGTTCCTTGTAGTTGGTGGAGGAACCCTTGTTGGCGAGCCCAGAGGTGAGACGTTCCTTGTTGTTGGTGGAGGAACCCTTGTTGGCGAGCCCAGAGGTGAGACATTCCTTGAAGTTGGTGGAGGAACCCTTGTTGGCAAGCCCAGAGGTGAGACGTTCCTTGTAGTTGGTGGAGGAACCCTTGTTGGCGAGCCCAGAGGTGAGACATTCCTTGTAGTTGGTTCTCAGGTTGGCACACATCTCAGGAGGGATTTTGGTCCTCTCTTCTTTACAGAACTTCTCTAAATCCTTAAGGTTTCTTGGCTGTCGCTTGGCAACTCGAAGTTTCAGCTCCCTCCATATATTTTCTATAGGATTAAGGTCTGGAGACTCGCTAGGCCACTCCATGACCTTCATGTGCTTCTTCTTGAGTCTCTCTTTGGTTGCCTTGGTGGTATGTTTTGGGTCATTGTCATGCTGGAAGACCTATCCACGGCCCATCTTCAGTGTTCTGGTTGAGGGAAGAAGGTTCTCATTCAAGATTTTACAATACATTGCCCCCGTCCATTGGCCCCGCAATGCGGCAAAGTCGGCCTGTATCTTTTAGTAGAGAAACAGCCCCAAAGCATGATGTTTCCATCTCCGTGCTTGACTGTAGGGATGGTGTTCTTTGGCATTAACTCGACTCCCTGTGTTTGGAGGAAGAAAAATGCTGACTATGACCCGAAGAGCTCAATTTTGGTCTCAACTGACCACAGCACTTTCTCCCAATCTTTCTCTGAATCCATTAGAGGTTCATTGGCAAACTTCAGACAGGCCTGGACATGTACCTTTTTGAGGTGGGGGGCCTTGTGGGTACTGCAGGATTTCAGTACATGGCGGTGTAGTGTGTTACCAATGGTTTCTTTGGTGACTGTGGTCCCAGCTGCCTGGAGATCATTCACAAGCTCCTCACATGTTGTTCTGGGCTGATCCCTTACTTTTCTCATGATCCTCCTTACCCCATGAGGCAAAATCGTGCATGGGGCTCCAGACCAACGCTTGATGGTTATTTTGTATTTCTTCCATGTGTGCAGAATCGCTCCAACAGTTGTCGTCTGCTTCTCACCAAGCTTCTTGCAGATGGTCTTGTAACCCAGTCCAGCCATGTGTAGGTCTACAATCTTGTCCCTGACATCCTTGGACAGCTCTTTGGTCTTGCCCATGGTGGTGGTGAGGTTTGAATGGAAGAAAGAGATTCTGTGGACAGGTGTCTTTTATACACATAACGAGTTGTCGTAAGGAGCATCTTCTTACATTGCCAGGACTGATCTGTGTACCACATGAGCACATAGCCAGCCTGTGGGAGCCAGAATCATTGTCGGTTGGTGGGGGATCAAATACTTATTTTACCGACTGAGCTGCAACTCCATTTATAACATTTGTATCGTGTTTTTTCTGGATTTTTGGTTGCTATTCTGTCTCTGTCATTTAAAATGCACCTACGATAATTACACTGTTCAACAAATTTTTATTTTTTGCCAGTTTTGGAAACAAAAGGATCCATTTCTTAATGAATTTCACATTCTGAGTTCAAATATAACAATGAAATTTGTCAATTGGCTCTAGTTTTTCTGTAAACGGAAAGTTTTCTACTATAGGCGTAATGACTACATAATGCACAATAATTCTATAGATAGATGTCTTTCCACAAATATAAAGCAAGTGATATGACTACATAACAGCCTAAATGGCATAATATATTGCATAGGATTACCAAGAAAAATGATAGCCATAAGCTAAGTTGAATCATTTTAATACTTAGGATTCTCACTAGTTTTGTCTTCAGTTTGTGTCGGTTTTGCTTCTCTTGGCTTTTCTCTTGTATTCGAGGAAAGGGCTATCTCTTACAACTGCACGTGACTACACGCTTCAGGTTCTTCCTCACTTGACTCAACCACGAAGGATTCTGGTGCTTTAGGAATTGGTAGCCCCTCTCCATGAGGAACTGGACGTATTGCCGATGGAATATTTGGATAGTGCACAGATAACTTTTTCTTCTTATTTAGCCCTTTTACAATTGGAGGCACCATACAAAAGTAACAATTACTAACATGATCTGTTGGCTCTCTCCAAATCATTGGCACAGCGAAAGGCATAGATGCCTTTTTTCCATTCAACCATTGCTCCAGTGCCGTCCCACAAGAATTGCAGCATATATGTGGTGCCCAGCTCTTGTCCTGGTCTCCTATCTTGCAGCCAAAATACAAGTTGTAGGCTTTCCTAATCATTCCTGTTATCCTCCTTTTTTGTGAGATAAAAGTTATTTCACCGCAGATATAGCAGAAATTATCTGCTTTATTCACACAAGTTCGAGGCATTACTGAGTAGCCTATATAATTAGAGATGAGCGAATCGAAGTAGGCGAAGTGGAATTCGTTTCGAATATTAGGAAAAATTCGATTCGCGCCGAATCCGAAAATTAGCAGACTTCGGATGCGCGAATCGAAATTTTTCCTAAAATGGCGGCGACATGTGTGGCGACGGAGCGGGGATCTCTGGGAAGGCGTGCAGACAAGGCGCGCTGACCCATAATGCATTCATTCATGACATGTGATCGCATTAGCCAATCAGCAGCCAGGGACACAGAACTGTTACTCAGGGACAGACACAGAACTGTTACTGAGGGACAGACACAGAACTGTTACTGAGGGACAGACACAGAACTGTTACTGAGGGACAGACACAGAACTGTTACTGTCATGAATGAATGCATTATGGGTCAGCGCGCCTTGTCTGCACGCCTTCCCAGAGATCCCCGCTCCGTCGCCACACATGTCGCCGCCATTTTAGGAAAAATTCGCGCATCCGAAGTCTGCTAATTTTCGGATTCGGCGCGAATCTAAATTTTTCCTAAAATGGCGGCGACATGTGTGGCGACGGAGCGGGGATCTCTGGGAAGGCGTGCAGACAAGGCGCGCTGACCCATAATGCATTCATTCATGACATGTGATCGCATTAGCCAATCAGCAGCCAGCCAGCCAGCCAGCACTGTGCAATGGTGGAGCTATAAATTGCGGCCATCTTACAGTTCTCCATTTGCCTCCGGTCATTCAAGAGAGACAGACCTCTCTGTATTAGGGACAGAGTTAGGGCCACAGATACTTTAGGGACACAGAACTGTTACTCAGGGACACAGAACTGTTACTCAGGGACACAGAACTGTTACTCAGGGACACAGAACTGTTACTCAGGGACACAGAACTGTTACTCAGGGACACAGAACTGTTACTCAGGGACACAGAACTGTTACTGAGGGGCAGACACAGAATTGTTACTGAGGGGCAGACACAGAATTGTTACTCAGGGACAGACACAGAATTGTTACTGAGGGACAGACACAGAATTGTTACTGAGGGACAGACACAGAATTGTTACTGAGGGACAGACACAGAATTGTTACTGAGGGACAGACACAGAATTGTTACTGAGGGACAGACACAGAATTGTTACTGAGGGACAGACACAGAATTGTTACTGAGGGACAGACACAGAATTGTTACTGAGGGACAGACACAGAATTGTTACTGAGGGACAGACACAGAATTGTTACTGAGGGACACAGAACTGTTACTCAGTTCTGTGTCATGGGCCCCTGTACCGCCTCCTCATGCTGCTGCCCGGTCCAGAGTGTGTCATGGGTCCCTGTACGGCCTCCCATTGCTGCTGCCAGGAGGCAGCAGGGTCGCAGCAGTGTCAGTGGAGGCAAACGGCCACGGAGTAGAGCACCAGCTCCACTGCAGCCTACCACCACGGCCAGTAGTGGTGCCGGTGTGTGCACGGAGGAAGTAGCAGTCAGCCAGTGAGGAGTAGCGGGGGCAAAGTTTCCTACTCGGCGGTGTGGCAATTTTTCGTCAAGCTGCCCGAGGAAGT